GTGAAGGTCAACAGTGACTTCCACTGTATTGAAATCCCGATCCTTTTCCCATCCTCATCATATGTATAGTAACTCTCTCTGATACACTGATCCTTGGCTGTTCCTTGAAACACTCTTCATTCGGCTTCCAGGACCCCAAATTCTTCTCACTTTTTTCATATTCTCTGGCCCATTTCACTCTCCTTTTATTATTATTTTACTTATTGATTCACAGGGGTTCTTTGAATAAGAGAGAGGAGTAGGAGTTCTTTGCACATGAAGGAAATTAGCCCTTGTATCAGTTAGCATTTGCTGTGTAACACAAGCTCGCATGTGCCTCACTCTGCTTCCCTGGCATCTCTTAATGTTAGGGAGCTCCAGGGCTCAGTCTTCAGAACTCTTTTCCATTTATTCTTGCTCTCATGGTGATCAAGTCCAGTCTCATAGCTTTACATAGTTCCTCTTTCATTACGATCCTCCAAAATCTCCACCTCCAGATCTCTTCTCTTTTCTCAGCCCCAGCATTTTGAGAGGCTGAGGCAGGAGGACTGCTTGAGGGGAAGGGTTTAATACCAGCATGGACACCATAGCAAGACCCTGTCTTTATGAAAATTTAAAAGAAATAACCATGTATTGTGGCACACACCTGTAGTCCCAGCTACTTGAGAGGCTGAGGTAGGAGGATCATTTGGGTCTAGGAGGTCGAGGCTGCAGTGAGCCATGATCACGTCACTGCACTCCAGCCTAGGTGACAGAGTGAGACCCTGTCATTAAAAAAATACAATCACAATAAAATATTGCTATTTGTACATTATGTTCCAAAACTGACACTTAATTGATTAGAATAAATGATAGGTGTCAATTCTTTTTGAATGGAAAGAATGGATCTTGAATCTTGGCTGTAAGACCTGTCTATATGTACCGCAGCATCTAAGGAAGAATGTGTTAGAGGAAGGGCAGTCAGCCGCAGCAGCGCTGCAGAAGCAAACTTGTTCATTGCCCATCAAGCACCATCTGGTGGAGAGGAAATCTAGACCAACCCAACCAACTCAGAGTGTCTAATCCAGCAGTCAGCCATAGTAGTTCCATCTAAGAGGGCACCGTTAGAGCATGGGAACATGAGTGCCCCGTCCTCTACCATCACACTCCTCCTGGAGAAATGTTTCCGTGGTGAGGTGGGACTCTTTAAGACTAGGAGGAGGGTCCTCCCTCCTAACCCACATCTGAACATTCCAGTCACAGTCGCCTATGGGCAAGGCCACTCTGACATGAGAGAGAGTAAGGCTTAGACTCCATGGGTGAATTCATTCTGGTTGTCGCTTCATTCAGCTCAGAGATTTCCAATAAACTCATTGCTTATGTCGAGTTTTCACTTGTCCACAGGGTGGGGGTCGGGGGGAAGCATGGTACAGTCACTTTTTCAAATTGCTTATTTATTGATTTTCTTTTTTTGGTGTGAAAATGCCCTCTGTGAAAACTCCAAAGTCTTGGTCCAATAATATTTTCAGAGGCATTAATCTAATTAATTCCCTCCATTACATTTCCTATATTGGCAGAGCCAGCTTTAGATCATTATTTGACTTTTCCTACTTGTGGGGAGTAAATACTCCGGCAGGACATAATTTCTAAGTATTCTGATTTGGGGGTCAGTTATTTCTATTGTAAATATATAAATGGGCAGCTACTTTGTTGTTAAGACATCTGCCTCAAGACTGTTTAATATGAGTGTGCGCACAGGAGAGAAATGTGCTCTCAAGGTTACTATCTGTAAGACCAAGAGCATCCCCTTGGCCTGTGGCAAATCCACCATCCTTGGGCACTTCCCCACCACCCCTATTCTCACCCCCACCCCCAAAACAGACAGCAGCAAATAACAGAACGTGTAACGCTTTGCCCAGAATTCTAATAAAACTACACTTATTTAAGATATGATGTGCTGCACATCAGCCAAGCCCTTTAGAAGCAAAACTTACCAAGTTTGAGTAGATCATCTATTTCCAAAGTGCTTCAGATAGATAGACAGACAAAGATATAGACATAGCTTCAAGCAACGTTGTTATTGACCATAAATGCTAAATTATACAGACTCCAGAGGAATTCTTTCAGCTATTGTCTAAAAAGTATATGCTTACATTTGTTTGGCATTTGCATGAAGAAATATTGGCAGGATACACCAGAAACTAATCAATTTTGGGAGGTAGAATAAGGACAGGAAGCAGAGTGATACTTTCTACAAAACCTTTCAAAGCTTTTAAATTTTTGGACCACAGGAATATATCACCCATTCAAATTTTTAAAAGCAACATTTACATCTACATGGAGCTCTGTTCATGTTGGAAGCTCTTTTGCATGAAGCATACAAGCATACCACGTTTGGTTTTCTCTGTGTTCCCACAAAAGATAAAATCAAATGCCTCCATCAACCAGGGACCCACAGGGATTGGTGTGTGTCATCACCATGGTTTCTGGTTTCTGTAATTGATGCTTTGACATCATGGGGCCATGCTGACCCTGGACTGCCCCTCCAGGAATGACCCAGTTCCTAGAGATGATAAAGGACTCATCTGCTAATTTGCTTGACACATGCAAACCAATCCATACAGAGCCCACACCCAACCACCTCCCTTACTGGCTTCCATACTCTGGGTCACCATCCACCTGCCCTAATCACCCCAAGACCAGGCACCAGACAACTGGGAACAGTCCCTATTTCCAGGAGGCTGCTGAAATTATCAAACTGGCCAATCTTTAAGCCTGCTTAGTCTGCCTCCCTATCTCCTCCCCACAGTAACCACAGTAAAGTTCCTGCTACGTCTTCCCTTGATTCTTCTGCCTCTTGACCTATCCTGGTCCTTCCTCACATGGTTCCCCAGGGCATATGTGCCCCCTCGACGTGGGATCTGCCTGTATAACAAACTATCTTTTCAATGGCAGTCACCTCTTTATCTGTTGGCCTTGCCATCCTGAACAATAATACAATCTGCATCTTAAGACCTTGGGCCTGGAAGAGAACACTGGTCTGCAGAAGGCACAGAGGACAATTTTATTGCAATTTTAGTTGCAATAAAAAGAAAATTATAATTTTATCATTTATAACTTATAATTTCACAGAATGCTTCTTAAATGAAAGCCAAGAATGTGTTCTATCCCCAGCAGGAGAAACCGGTGAAGGTTAGGACACATTGCTCAGGGCAGTTTGGCTGCCAACACCCCCACGTGTGCTTCTATTAATAAATGTTAGACCCAGGAGAATGGTATGCTCATAAATGAGCCCACAGGCGACTCCGTTACTGGGTAGCTTGTGCTCGTGTGCCTCCCCATAAGGACGGAAGTGCTAAAGAGCATCAATTCTGCAGAAATCATCATGTGGCGAGCCTAGGTGATGTTTACATTGTGTATTTGTCGCTTTAAGCAGGCCTCATACATGAAAATGAGCATTTATTGCAAAACGGACAAAGAAGAGATGATTCCACGGCCCATAAACCGTGCATGCCAAAAGCACTTTTCCAACAGGAAACTTGGGTGACTTAAATGATTTAATTTGGCAACAGGGATTTGTTTCACTTGCCCACCGCTTCACAGGAGCCTAAGGTAGTAAACGGAGTTTATGACAGCAGCCTTCACGCAATCGTCAGTGACTGAGGGCAGTGTCCAAGCCACGGCTGCCAAGGGTCTCTCGGTTGCCAGAGCAGCACAAAGAGCATGAAAGCCAAATGAGGAGAAAAGCCAGTCCCCGGAGGATGGTGCGGGCAAGAGTGAAAACTCACACATCAACCTGAACTGCTCTGGGTATCGACTTTCTGAAATGACAGTTTAGAGGCTGAAAATTCACAATTCTTTCACTTGGTCAAGTTTCGAATCTATTTTTTTTTTTTTTTTTTTTTTTTTTTGCCAACACTTTGAAATTTTGATATTTCACAAAGAAGAGTCAGATTTCTAGCTTTCCTGGAAAAACTAGGAGGTCTGGCCATACCGGGCCCATGCTTCCAGGGAAAACCACCAGCTCAACTGAGCAGTGGTAGCTGCTCCCTGGCTGCGGGGCCTGAGCACCCCTGTTCGCCACAGTCCCCACCACTCCATACTGCTCCCCACAGGGCTACTGAGTGCTAGTAAGCACATATCATTGCACTAAAGAAACACTTGTTTGTACTTCGCGTTCTTTCAAGTGTGGGAATATGAAAATTGGACTTAGAAGACTTAGGTTTTTCCAGAAAAAATAATGGAAACCAGAGAATGCTCTGATGTGTTTAATAGGACAGCAGACGGCCAGACATCTTACCCCTACTTTCAAGACCTCACCGTACAAGGATTGGGAAGAGTAAAACTTCTTCAGTGAAGGCTGAGCCAGGGGATGGGGCTGGGGAGCCAAATTCAGGTCTTGGCAGAGCATCACAGCCTGAGCAAGGGGATGGCTGAGGAAGCTGCATTGCAGTGACTGTATGGCTGGGGAGAAGCGCCTCTCAGACAGAGAATGACACTAATCGGCGAATCAATCCTTGAAAGTCAGATGGGCAGAAAATGAACGTGTTCATCAATTCTAACCTTAGCTACGAAGCAGGAAGCCCCACCCTACCCTTACACAGAACCGAATTTGACGCGTCAAGTAAAAAGCAACTGGTCAACCCGAGTCTGCTGCCTACGAGTCTATTTGAAATCAGGATGCTTTAAACGACGCAGCTGGAAGGCAGAGGGAAATGAAAAACCCAAGGAAAGCCCATGTGCTTTGCAGCTGGGTCATCAAAGAGATTTCCTGTGGCTGCCAAAAAGAAATATGGAAGAAAAGAAAAAACCCTAAGTCAACCCCCTTCTTCTTCCAAAATAAAACAAGCTGTGTGTTCGTTTTCCAATGTGCACAGATCATTCCCCTAGGGTAAGAACATAACACACTTTCTAACTCACAGCATGTGACTGGAAGAGTGGGAGGGGCCGGGCCCGAGGAGTCGGGGTATTTGGTTTCCACCCCACCCCAAGGCAGGGGACAAAAAGAACCACGCCTTCATACTTTATACACAAACATCTTGGACAGACCAAAGTAGAGCACAGATTTTATTTAATTAAAATAGATTAAAAACAGATTGTGTAAAAGAATTAGAATTCTCAATAATTTACTATTATTTACATGAGCAAATGTCGGTCGTTAGTAGACACTGCGAGCAGAGACGCTGGAAGCACGGGGATCCTCTCCCGTGGGCAAGGAGCCCGGCTTCCCTCCATTCCCGTCCTTTCAGGTTCACGATGGCAACTCTGTCAATGAGCGCACCAGGGTGTTGTGGCTGCAGCACCGGGACCCGTGCTGAAGGCCGGGAGACCTGGCAGGCCGGGAAGCAATTCCTTTCTTCTGGGAAGAACCACCAAGGCTCGCTCAGTTCAAGCTCACAAGGGCGTCTGGTCAAAATGCCTTCCCCGCCCTGCAGCCAATACCCCACCATGCTGGGCCTTCTGCAAACACTCTTGGGTTGACCCAAACCCAGTTTCCAGATAAAAGGTCAAAAGCAACAACAACAAAAAGCCATACCTCCCAGTTCTCAGAGAAATCCTGGATTACTAAACATCCCCTGCCTGTGGCATCTGGAACGGGTGACTTGTCAAAATCTCCCTCAAGATGTTTTATGTGTTTGCCGTGGGAGGGAACAGTGGGGAGCCAGGGTGGCCGGGGGGACTGGGCCACTGTGGATGCAGCTCCTAGGACGCAGTCACAGTGAGAGCGAGCTCACAGGAGCTGTCCCAGCCCTGAAGCGCAGCCCGGCCAGCACCAAGCGGGGAGCGAAGACCCTCAGAACAAAGGCCTTGTGGCCTCTGCACCGTGGGCTCAGATTGCTGGAGATTCCGCGGTCAGCCTGGACCACTAGGAGCCCCCGCTGCTCCACTTGCAGGATACCCCGGTCTCCTAGCGTCAGTGGGGCCTGGGTCCTCTGGGAGGTCCAGGGCTGGGGCAGCAGTGGTGGCCATGGCGGCCAGTACAGTGGACAGCACCAGAACTGGCAGTGAAGGGCTGAGGCGGGGGAGGCCCGATGGAGAGGCTCAGTCCAAAATGTCTGTCTCGAAGGGGACCAGGTGGTAATACGACAGGTTGGTGACGTAAGCTGCCGGGTCATCCCCGTCCTCCAGCTCTGAAGGAAACTCACTGCCGTTCTCAAATCTGAAATTAGAGAAAACAGAGGTGAGGGCTGGCTCACTGCTGGGATCACCATCAATCATCTGCTGGGCCTGTGAGCACGGCTTTCAATGCCCATTAGGAAGTGTGCAAAAAACCATGGCTACAAATTAACTGGTGAGCTGGCTCCTATTCTGAGACTACCAGATCCTGTGCTTTCCACTGCCTTGGAGACTGCCGTCTGTATTTGCTTAGACACTTCTTAGCGAGGCCTCCATTCATGCCTTCATTCATGGAGTGCAGATTTTCACCTCTTGTTCCGTGCCCGGCAGGCTCTGGGATCAGCGGTGGACAAGGCAGGCAGGATCTGTCCTCAGAGAAGAGGCGCCTGCCTCGTGCTGAGCCCTGGGGACAGCATGGAGAGAATGGTCATGGGCTCACAGCCTGACCACAGCGGAGATGGCACATGTCCGCACAGGAGGCTGCCGAGGGAAGAGGAGGCTGGAGAGGAGCTGGCGAGGCCCATGGAGGTCACATGGGGATCTTCCAGCGGGGAAGCCTGCATGTGGGCGTGTGTTTCACTCAGGCTCTGGAAGATGAGAAGCATCCAAATGTGGGGGGCTTATATGGGGTGTGGACAACTAAGGGAAGAATATAAACCCCAAACATAAGGGGACGTAAAAGCCCCCTATACTGACTCCCCACGCACTGGAACTGCTTCTCCTCCCTCTCCAGCCCCGGCACGGTCTCCTAAGCTAGTGAAAAAGGCTCCATGTCTTAAAAAGGGCATAACAAAGAGAAAAGCACAAGAACATTCTCCCCAGGAAAGGGGATGGAGCAGTGCTGCGTGTGCTATTGCCATTTGCCTCAACCCAAACCAGGGAGGCCGCACGCCCTCCTGGGAGCCACCTCAGGGCTGCCTCTCAGTGCCTGCAAGTGGTCCTGGCCCATGGACAGCTGCAGGAACCCAGCCATATCTGGAAAGCTTTGCTGTGACCAGGAAGACTGCACAGTCTCGGGCCCATGGGTGGACACAGAAGAAGGCAGGGCCAGCACACGTCCCCTGTATTCATACATTGTGCAAATTCCGCTGACCTCAAGGAGGAAGACAGCTTTAAGGCATTTGGATAGGAGAGGCTGAGGCTGCAGAGGCGGGCCTCCCCTCTGCCTCCATGGCCAGGCCTGGAGTAGGGGTTGGGGGGGGAGTCAGCCCCTGCCTTGGTTTCCCTGTGCTCACGGTCCTGGCAGTGCGAGGCTGGAGCGGAGGCCATGGCACAGAGAGCCCTAGCTGCGGGTGGGAGAGCTGTGGGAGCTCAGGGGGACAGAGCAGCTCTCCCACTTCATCCCAGAGAATGAAATCTCTTCCCCAAACCAGGGCTGAACGGAAACCCGAGCGGGAACCCTGGACGTGCTGAAAGGCTCAAGTCAGGTGACGGATAGGTCCACAGCGCCTGCCCAAACTGTCCTACCATCTGCCTGTCCGCCCTGCCCTGATCACAAGACGATACTAGGGACATGAGGACAGAGGGGGACTGGGATGCTTGGGGAAAATGAGTCACGAGACTGAAGCCCCCAGAGGTCCCCACAGAACTGCCCAGTGCCTTGGCCCTGGATGACCTCCCAGAAGTTGGGCAATCCCTTCGCCAGCTGAGACTGTCACCTGCAGAGGCCCAGAAGTCCCGCCATCCCCATCTCGATCAGATACATTCATTCCCTGAGTGCAGGGCAATGGTGCCCACTACCCCCTGGGGCCAGATGGGGAGCAGCCTGCTAAGACTCTGCTGTGGGGCCCTATCATGGGCCTGGCAGCACTGGGCTCACAGGCTCAGGCCAGACAGTCAGGCTCAGGTGCCAGCGAGGACGGTCAGCCTCGGGTGCCGGCGAGGGCAGCTGTGTGGGGAGGTGAGGCCTCCAGCTCTGCAAATGGCGTCTCTCTGTGCCGTTGGTCGCCCTCCACCCCAATCCCCCTGACAGCAGATGCAGTGTAGAAACAGATCGTCCCTGAGACACACTGCAGCTGCACCATCAAATCCACCACACTGCCCGAGACGGAGCGGCCAGAGAGAGGCCCAGGAGCTTGAACCAGAACTCCCTCCAAACGCTCCCCTGAGCCCCAAGGCAGGCCTTTCTCTGTTAGGCTTTCCTGGCAAGACTTTCCCGACCCTCTCTCCCTGTGAGCCAGGTGTCCCGGCGCAGGTGGCCGCCTATTCAAGACCTGCCATTCCTGTCCACACACAGCCCGGGCAGTGCAAGAGCCACGCCTCCTCCCGGCTTTCTTCCCTCTCCATGTGTTTCTCCCCAGCTCCAGGCTGCGCACAGTTGAACCTGTCTCCTAAATCTGGCCTCATTCCAGGGCGCCGAGGGCCTCCGGGAGATAGAAAAGGGTGCCCTTGGACACACTGCAGACTCAGGGCCTGCACAGATGGTGAGGAGGAAGGGTCCCCATCTGCCTTCACCCCCCCATAGTCCCTAGCCAGTCACTACCCCTGCCAAGCCAAAGGGCCTCTTTCTTTCATTCATGGTTAACTCCAGCCTCATACTTACACGGTGCCAGCCAGCGAGCATGGGGACCCACAGGAAATGAGGGAATGAGTTATGTACAGTGGGGTCAGGGCAAGGCCAGCACAGCTCCTGCCACCAGCAGCTCATGACCCCTCCACTGGGAAAGATTCTCGAACCGTCTACCCAAGAGACATACTTAGAACTGAGAATGTGGGGTCTGTTAGCAGGTGCCAGTCCCACAAGCCTCAGGGACCACCCCTCCATGCTCAGTCACAGAGCAGGTGTCAGCAGAGGAGGCCCAGGCCACCGGCTGGAGCCCAGGCTCAGGCTGGGTTCACACCCCGCAGCCCACAGGCCCGGATGTGGGGCTCCACACACGTGGCCGGCCTAGTTCGTTCTAGTTTCAATCTGCTGCTGTGGAGGGTTAGCAAATGGGTGGGGCAGGACCTGAGCCATCCCCAGCCTATGCCATTTCTGGGCCCGCAGGGAGACTCTGCAGCCAGAGCTGCCTCTGGGGGGGTCTCAAGCGGGATGTTTTACACTCATCCTCTGTGGCCTTCAACACAACCCAGCAGAATGGCCCCGTGAAGATAAGAGAAGCCAGGAGAGGTTAAGTAACTTTTTGAGCTCATACAGCTGAGAAGCAGCCTGGAGCTGGCTGTGTCAGGAAAAAGAGGCCAAGCTGTCTGGGGACCCTGGTGCCCCCGTAATTCACCAAGAAGATGCCTAGAGGAGAGCCAAGGCTGAGGCTGCTGTGCCTCACAGTGCCCCAAGTGTTGGGCTCTCTAGAGCGTGTGTTACAGTCAAATCAGAGACAGAAAGAGCGGAGAAGACAGTGCTGGCTTTGGCTGTCCAGCCTCAGTAATCAGGCACAGCCTACACCTTCAGCACAGGGCTGCAGGCCAGGCTCCACCCCATAGCCGGCCAGCCGTGAGGCAAACATGTCCCCGTCCCAGGGAATCAGGACCGCTGTGTGTGAGGTATGTGGACTTCCTGGCTCTGGAGACAACATCACACCCTTCAGGGCCCCACAAAAGCCAGGCCCCCAACCCCAAAATGTCTCCTAAATGCCCCTCGTAGCTGGCAACTCCATCCTCCACAGATTCACTAATCAAGATCTCACCAGACTCTAGGAAAGGCAAACTTAAAATCAGTGTCCAAATGCACACAGGGACTGCTGGGTGGCTCTGAGTAGCCACTGCCTTCCATAAAAACAGTGAGCCCCATCCTGCAAGGCAAACGGCTTAGGACAGTCTATGAAACGATACTGAAACCAGCATACTTACAAGTGCTCTGTCGGGTCCACGCCCAGGTGCTGGTCTCTTCCGTTTGGTATACTGTGGTCAATTACTATTGTTTCGGTATTTGCTAAACAAAATCCATTGGACCTCATGATTTCTGAAAATCAAAGCAGTAAGGTGAGTCCTCCTTACTGGGGTTCATGCTTGAGGTTTTAGTTTGGGACTAACCCCAATCCTCCTCCTTTCTCCTCCACCTGTTCCTCACCTCACTCTTCCACACTGTAAGAGAACGTTGTGCACCTGAGACCCATTCAGAGCCCCACTGCGCAATGTCAGGGCCGAGGTCAACCCCCACAGGAGCCAGGCCTGCTGCGTGTCTCTCCCCAGACAAAGGTGCCCTGGCTGGCTGAGCGCTCTCGCCATATGCCCTTTGCTGTGGGCTTAAAGCTGGAGTACAAAGCAGGAGTACCGGGCTCACATCTGTGAGTCTGTGTGTGAGAGAAGATCTATGGCACAGTGATGTGTGGCTCTGCCCAGGGTACCACACCTTGCTGAGCTCTCCCCGTGGCTAAGACAGGAGTAACAATACCGACTGCCTTGGGTTGCTATTCTGATTGAATGAGATCAGTGTGCATTTTATTTTTATTTCAATTGTTTTTGGGGTACAGGTGGGTCTTGGTTACATGGATAAGCTCTGTAGTGGTGATTTCTGAGATTCTGGCAGATCCGTCACCCAAGCAGTGTACGTTACACCTGATGTGTAGTCTTAGCCTTTTATCCCTTCCCCCTTGCCCTTCCCTCCAATTCCCCAAATCCCATATCACTCTTATGCCTTTGCATCCTCATAGCTTGGCTCCCACTGGTAAGTGAGAACACACAATATTATTGGTTGTCCATTCCTGAGTTACTTCTTAGTGTGTATATTAAACCAGAAGGTGATTTTCACTGTTCTGCTTGATAAAATTCTGTATGTAAATGAATTTTTTTTTCCAAATAAGTACAGATTTGGGTAATTTAGAAAAGCCAACAAAGAAAAATGACTTCCTATGTCCACACTGGCTGCATGCGTTAGCTAGAGAGGGTGGAAGTCTGCGCCCGTCCTTGGCTGGAAAGGCTGGAATGGAGAATGAGAGCCAGGACAATGAGTTCCACGGCCTTGGGACTCAGTTTCCTCCACTGGGAAATTTCAAAGGTGTATTAATCTCTGAGGATCCTCCTCACTCTGAAATCCCATCAACTCCTGGATCCCATCTCACCATCTGGTCCATCTAAGTATAAAAAGCCAGGGTGGTGGACTCTCAGCTGTAACGTTCATTTGTATTTTCTGAGGGACGGCGTTTCTGTCCCCTCGCTTGGCAGATGAGATCTGGTAGCGATGGCCAGTTGCTGGCGCTGAAGCTCTCCAGCTGCTCACGAGGCTGCTCGTCTCCCAACCTCACTTCTACGAACCGGACCACCTTTGCCTGCTCTTTCGAATCAGAACCTCCATGTACCCCACCATAAAAGTCATGCCAAAAACAACTCCAAATTCCTGGTGCCTTCTCCAACCCAAGGGACTATCCTCTTCCCACTTGGGGCACAGCTCCAGCCCTCCCTCTCCCCTGGCACGCCACGCCCCACAGGAACACCGCTCACTGCCCCAGCGGATGCCTTAGTTGCCTGGACAGCTGTTTTCCTTTATTTTTCCTTATGCCTTACCACAATTCAGACTGGTTTATTCCGGTGTATGGATTTGCTTTTTTTGTAACTGAAATGGTCATTTTCTGTTTATTCTTAAATCTTTCTAGGTATTTGGTTCTCAGTCCTGTGAACTTCTTTCCATATGAAGAGAATTAGGGAAATTAATGCAAAAATGAGGAAAGAAAAACAGATTCTCTCCTCGCATCCCCATATGATCAAAATGTCGATTCATCAGTCAGATTCTTCACGTCATCGCTAAAATTCTGCCTGTCTTTCTGGAGAAGGGGCTGCTGGTGTTTCGTAGGGCCATCAGTCCTCAGCTCTTCCCTGTCCCACCTGGTGGGGCTGCGGGCCCTGAGAAGGAGCTTTGCAAAGCAAAGAGGGGTCAGTGCCCCAGCTCTGGGGTCAGCCACACTTACAGGTACAAAAAGGGCAGAAAGAAGATGCTTATCGAAGCCTCACTAACAGGCGGACTGTGAAAACTGCCAGATCTGAACAAGACAAACTAAGATTCCCTCACCTCTCTATCTTAAATGGGTAGCAGCACAGAACCACTGCCTTTATTGTTTTCATTAACTCTGACCCAAATCTGTCTTTCTTGGGAAGCACATGAAACCTCAGAGCTACCTCCAGGCAGCCAGCTGACAGCCCCCTCCCCTTTCTCCCACCCCTTTGCAAAGGGAATTTGGTTGGATGGTGGCCTACAAGTTAAAACAAATGTCGCTGCTGCAAATCACTTCTGAAGGAAATTCTGAAGCGTTACCTTGCATGCCTAATCTTTCTTAAATGTGAAATTTGGAGCTCTATAAAATGGAGTCTTTACCAGTGCCCCCAAAAAAGAGACTTGTAAGAAGTAATTCCTTAACCTATGATAAGGAGCCTCATGCACATACATGTGGTTTAATTATTTGCAAGGCTGATTGGGCCCTGGAAAACACTAAAGGTATGTCTGATGCCTCCTGCATGGACCTTGCTGCCTCAGGCCTGGCCCAGAGAGGGGCCTTGCTTAGACTCTTGCCTTTCACTAAAGATGGTCCCTGAGAAGCTCCCATTCCCTCCTAGATCCCACCTCTGCTCTCAGCCCCATGACCTCAAAAAAGTTTGGGGCAAGCCAGGCTACATAGCTGGTAGGTGTGCAGCAACCTCTGGAACATTCATTCCCAACTTGGGTTCAGAAAGAGATGGTTCACTGAAAAACAAATTGTCTTAAAACCTAGGGAAATGTGCACAGCTTTCACATGCTTGTGCTAGTTGAAAATGGAGCATAGATTCTGCAACAGTTTATATTTTTGTTTATTTGGCCACTTTAACAAAAAAGTTCTAGGAAAAGCTGTACACATTAGTACAGGTCCACGGTTTTAAAAGAGAAGAAAAAGCACTTAGCTCTAGCAAGCCTCTAACTGTCGGGACCACTGATTTAGGGAGATGATCCTGCTAAGCCTGTAGTCTGTGCCCCGTTTCAACCACAAGACAGCAGATATTTAAAGGGGAGTTGCCCTCCTGGGTCAGTTTTCACAAGAGGATGGTGTAGACCATGAACTTGTACCTTCAAGCAAAAGGCTTCATTGAGATTCATGGCTACGGAACCAGGAAGGCTGACCTGTAACAAGGTCCGCCGGTAACTTGCCATGTGCCTTCGGCCAGAGCTTTAGCAAGTATGGCGTGTCTGCAGTGTGGGATGCTGGCTCCTCAGGAGGCACGAGCAGGTTGGAGAGTATGTAGATTGTGCAGCTGGGGACACTCTGCTACTTAGACCTGGAGAGCACGTTACCTCTCGCTCAGTTTGTTCATCTGTACAATGGGAGTAACGGTATCCATTCCCAAGTCCAGTGTGCAGACGGAGATGATGTATGTAAAGAATCCAGCAAATGCTGCAGGCTCAGTAAAGAGTCCTGGGTGATCTATTGTGACTATTCAGTGCCCTTTCATTAACTGGCCAACTGGGCTACCCCTATATAGTCAAAGTAAGGTTGAAATGATACAGAAGCCACATTAATGAAAAACAATGTTCTATTTACAGGCCCTCTAAACCTGAACGATCAGATTCTGTGGCTGAAATTGATGCGTTCAAGTGACCGTATCAAGGCTGAGATATGCATTTCCTGACAGCTGTTGCAATTGTTGGTAATGTCCTTATATCTGTTACGATGTAAATAAAAGAGAAAATGTTGTCATTCAAGAAAAATTATAGCATCTGGGCCTCTCTTCAAACATACAATGTGAATGTCTTAGAAGTCAGCTCTGTATCTATAGCAAGAATCTTTGACCAATGTAACCATTTTAATCGCATGCATGACTGATTCCATGAAATAATTCACTTTCAAGCTATTTTTTTACACTCCTATTTTTCCACATGAAAACAGCCCTGCTCTTCCATGGAAACTGACATTGGCACAATATGGTTAACTAAACAAAAGATCTTCACTCGAATTTCAACAGTTTTTCCACCAATGTTCCTCTATTCCGTGCTCGCCCTAATGCAGGACCCCCTGCTGCCATGAGTTCCTCTATCTTGGTCTCCTACGACCGCTGATGGTTCCTCCATCTTCCTTGTCCCTCATGACCACAACCCTTTTAGAGAGCACTGAGCTATATTGGCAAATGTCCCTCCATTTGGGTTTGCTGGCAGTTTCAGAGTGCTTCGATCCAGGTGATGCATTTTTGGCAGGAAGCCTACACTGCGAGGCTGCATGAGAGCTGGAGTGGCACATGGGGGTGGGGGGGAGGTCGGAGTGCCTGGGTGAGGAGGCTTCTGCCAGCTGTCTCCACAGTGAAGCTACCACCTTTCCCAGGGAGGATGCCTCGAGGCCATGCAAATCTTGTTTCTCCTCAAAGTTTCACCCCCAATCTTGGCCTCTATCAATCAATGGATCTTTTTTTGCAACAATTACCAGCGTGCCTGTCTGCCTAATGGCAATTTTTCTGTTTTTTAGATGCAGCCACGTTTTCATGCGCCCCACAACCGCTGCAACCCCTCACTTCAATAACTCGATTCCTTTTCTCAGCAGACACAGTCTCAGCCGTGAAAGCATTCACACTCCCGCCTTCCTCCCTTTCACCTCCTCTCTCCCACTGTATTTCCAACACACTCCAGCAGCGGAACAAAACCCAAGGCAGTGCCCTTTTATTATCTGGCCAGCTGGGCTACCGCTACATAGTAAACATAACGTTGAGACTGGCCAGAAGCCAGATTAATGAAAAATAAAATTGTGATTCATTTCCAGCCCTCTTAAACCTGAATGTTGAGATTTTTGTGGCTGATACTGATGAGTCCAAGTTACCAGATCAAAACTGAGGTTTGCATTTCCTTCTACGTTGCACAGCTGCAGTCATGGGACAGAATGCTCCAGATTCCTGCTTTCTTACATTTGACAAGCATTGGACAAAGAATGATGAAGGCTGCACTGGTCAGAAGCATTGCCAAGGGCTGCAGTCCATCCATCCTGACGGTCCTCTCCGTGGCCCCAGGATGTGGACACGGTTCACGCGACTGCTAGCGCCGGGCGCCATCTAGTGGAGCCCCTGACAACTAAACTGTCCCAGAAAAGCCGAGGCGCTCGGCACCTGCGGGCCCCCATCCCCAGCCTACATGATGAGTGCAGAGAGGGTCAGTGCCTGTCTCCCATGGCCCACGTACATCAGTGGGCCAGGCTCTGAATGCCCAGAATGGCCAAGGACTTGGCTTGATTGTGAGAGTGAGCTTTTAAAACAATCAATTAATGAGCCTCGGAGGTCACAGTGTTGGGATGACTGGCTCAGTCCTCAGGTTCATGTCCTGGAGAAAGGGGAAGGCATGAAAGAAAGCCATGTGGACAGTCTCAGGTGACACCAGGGCTCTGCAGACCCCGAGCCCCAGCCTGGGGACCCACGGATCCAGAAACACATCAGTATGGGACCAAGATGGAGAATATGATGTGCCAATGTGTGAGCCATTTTCTCAAAGGGATGTCAGGGCCATTGTCAATAGTAATTTCATGAAAAAGCATTCCTGATGGGAGGTTCCTGGCATGGCGTGGGTGAGCACACCGCCTCGCCACCAGCCCACACAACTACTCTAGCTTAGGAAATTCCCTTAGACACGGTGAGGAGCCAGCTAGATGGGGAGCAGAAATCGGAGGGGGTCTGGGAGTTCAGAGGGAGAACATCTGACTCGGTGACTGGCAGAGCAGAGGAAGGAGGCAGATACCCAGAGCACTTGGGACCCTCAGCTCTGCAAAGGTGCAAGAGGCCGTACCACCTGCCACCTCCTGAAGTAACACCTCCGGGCCCCTAGCCTTTGCAATGAGACTGTCAGCCACAGGCCGGTGCAGACTCCACGTTAGGCAGCCCCAGATGGCAGAACGTGTTCTGTGCTGAGCCAAAGTCATCCACATTTACTGCAACCCACAGGCCCTGTGCAGCCCCTGCCTGGCCCCTCCCCGTGGCAGCCCGCCAACATCTGAGGGTGGCATCCCGTCCTCGCAGCTGCTCTTCTACATTTCCCCCTATTCTTCTGACCCCTGCCCACCAGACACTCTTCTCTGGATGCAGTAATTCATCTAGCTGCCTCCCAGGGACAGTCTTGACTTGCACAAGGAGGTCAGGACCCTTCCTAGACCTGGACGCTGTACCCCCCATCATGCACAGAAGGCCACAGACAGCAGCGGCTGAAACCTGTCCTCAGCCCTTGCAAAAAGGCAAAGAGAACATACTCCCAATTGCAACATGAGACTCCACATTTCTCCCTGTTAAATTTCATGTCACTATGCTCACCCCTTAGGGTACACGTGGGCCATGTGTTCATAAAAGTCACTGATGGAAACAGGAGGCCAGGGCGGGCTGGAGCACGTTCCAGGCACTGAGCCACAGGAGCTTCTCCAACAGAAAGGCAGCTCCAGGCAGCTATAATCTATCCCTCTCACTCTAATCTGTCACTCTCACTCAGGAGCCTCGGGGTCAGCTTGAAGCAGCGGCCCAGCCTCTCCCTCAAGGCAAGGCCTTAAGAGTTCTCTGCTGCTCCTTGCTCTCTCGGTTGCCCAAAACAGAGCAAAACAAAGCGAAACAGAGACACTGGTGCTAGGACTCTCCCTGCTCAGACTAAAGAACAAGGCTTCCCCAGGCTCCACACTACAAAATGCAAAACCCAGAGAAACAGACAATTAGGACTCCAGAGCCCTCTGTGAGCCCTATGAGATGAGGATCTGTAGACACTCAGCCAGGATGAAGGACCCAGCCATCTTCACTCTCCATAAAGGTTCTGGAGACCCAGTGCCAGCTAAGGAGGGGCTCTTGCACTCACTGCTCTTGTCTAAGGACACACAGGAAGCTATCTTATAGAGATATCAAAGTAGCATACCACGCAAAGTGATCTACATATTCAACGCCATCCCCATCAAAATATGAATGACATTCTTCACAGGAACAGAAAAAAAAATCAATCCTAGGCTGTCTATAATCCCAGCACTTTGGGAGGCGAAGACAGGTGGATCACTTGAGCTCAGGAGTTTAAGACCAGCTTGAGAAACACGGCAAAACCTCACCTCTACAAAAAATACAAAAATTAGCCTGGCATGGAGAGGTGCACCTGTAGTCCCAGCTACTTAGGAGGCTGAGACAGGAGGATTACTTGAGCCGTAACTGTGCCACTGCACTCCAGCCTGGGCCACAGAGGTTGACTCTGTCTCAAAACAGAACAAACAAAACAACAACAAAAATGAGAAAACAATCCTAAAATGTATATATGGAACTATAAAAGATGCCAAATAACCAAATGAATCTTCAGCGAAGCTGGAGGCCTCACGCTACACAACTTCAAAATATACAACAGAGCTACAGTAACCAAAACAGCATGGTACTGGCATAAAGAACACACATAGACCAATAGAACATTATATAGAACACAGAAATGAATCCATATACTTACAGCCAACACAATGGAAACTACCAAAGTGTCCACCGACCAATGAATGAATAAAGGAAATGTGGTACATATGCATAATGAAATACTATTTCAGTCATTAAAAAGAATGAAATGCTGTCATTTGCAGCAACATGACTAAGCCTGCAGGCATTATGTTAAGTGAAATAAGCCAGACACAGAAAGACAAATGTCACAAGATCTCACTCATATGTGGAGTCTCAAGAAGGGGGAGATCACAGAAGCAGCAAGTAGAACAGCGGTTACCAGAGGCTGAGGAGGGGCCAGCGGCGAACAGGGAGAGGCTGGTCAGTGGGCACAAAGTTACAGTGGCAGGAGCAAGCTACTGCACAGCAGGGTGACCAGGGGCTGGGCGTGGTGGCTTTCGCCTGTAATCCTAGCCCTTTGGGAGGCCGAGGTGGGTGGGTCGCCTGAGGTCAGGAGTTCAAGACCAGCCTGGCCATCATGGTGAAACCCCATCTTTTAAAAATAAATAAATAAATAAGAAGGGAAGAAAAACAATGCTGCCTTGTGTATTCCAAAATAGTTAGAAGAGAGAATTTTGAACGTTCTCACCACAAAGGAAAGACGAATGTTTGAGATAATGAACATACTAAATATTTGATTTTTATACAATGTACCCATATACTGAAACATCATAGTTTACCCCATAAATATGTACAATAATTATGTGTCAGTAAAAACAAAAAAGTAAAAAGCAAAACAAAGCAGCAGCCACAGACAGGGTCAGGAGTGCCACCACCCTGAACACACACATCCTATTAATATCTACAAACCCATCTTAAACCCAGGTTCCAGAACCTGCCCACCTCACCCAGTTCTCCCAAGCACACAATTCAGAATCCCGCCTGTGCTGTGGCCCATAATCAGCAAGGCGACGTTCACAGCCAACAGCATCCGTCACTCAGTCCTCTGGTCTCCCCAGCTCCTTCTGAGTCAGCCCTGGGCTCAGATCCCCCTCATCTGCTGTTCTTCCTTGACATCCTTCTGAGTCCTCCACCCCTCCTTCCCTCGGCTTCCCCCTCCATTCAGAAACAGGCCCCTGCTCTCCTTCCTACAGATCACGGCGTCATGGAGGTGCTCTCCTTTGACCAAGCCGTGTCTCCTGAGGTTCCCCTCCCTCTCTGTCCACCAGGCAGGCCATGGCAAGATCGCATGCAACTGTCACCTCTTATGTCACAAGGCAACTGCCACTTGCTTGGGGAAACCCAGTCCTAGAGACTCCCAGGACAGAGCTCTTTTCCCTAGGAAATCCTCCTCGGCAGCCTTTGCCAAAACAGTGCTGCAAAAAACAAGTCTAGTGTTCTCACGACACCTGCAACCCAGATCGTAGTAAGTCACCACACTTGGACTGGCCAAGAAGCCCAGGCTTCCCCTTCTTTCCTTCCTGTGCCAGGAGACACAGTCCCACGTCCACACTAAGGAGACCTAAGCCTGTGCGTCCCTTTTGTTACGGCTGCCCCTATGAGCAGTAACCAAGTCCAACGCCGCGTGACATGGGCTGTCTCGCTTCAGCAGGCTGAACTGTGGATTCCAGTAGTTCGCTTCAAACTATATCCTCAATGTGTTCATGGTTATACCATTTCTTGAGTTCCTATCTACATGCCAAACAAACCCCAGTGGACACAGCAGGAGTGAGAGCCGCAGAGGGAAACACACCGCTCGGGAAATCAAGAAACAGCCTCTCTCCCTGTGTGTGCATTTCTCTCGGATTGCCTTTCCGGGAAAGTGCGGCCCAGCTGCACAGCCAGCCAGCTGGGAGGGTTTCTGTGAAGCCTCAGCCCCCCACAGCCCCCACAGCAGTACCCCCTCCCAACCCCACACCTCCCCCGTGGCTCTTACCTGATATTTTGACTGGACTTTGAAAGCTGGGTTGAATTTTATGTACATTATCATTTTTTAACACCTGATCCAGAGGAGATCTTTCAAAGAAGGTGAGTACAACTTCTGATCTAGAATACTGGGGAGAAATACAGGGTTTACTAAAAATGAACAGCCTCCACACACTGGCCCTGTCTATCAAGAGCCCTGCTCCTGCTCAGAGGTGGCCCATGTGATGCAAACGCCCCATGAATGTCCGGATGCCCCATGGCTGACCGCAGGGGCGAGGCTGCCCTCACTGCCCAGCCCTCATGTGTTCCCGGCCCAGGTGGCAGGAATACAAGGCCTCAGCAGCCTGGGCAGTGGAGGGAATCATGGCTCCGATCAACGTTCCAGTTTCACTCACGCCTCCCTCCCTCTATAGTAACTGTAGGCTGTGTTCACGCTCCCCATTTGCCAGGAAGAAGCGGAAGCTGCCAGGAGCGAAGGAGGTCTGCCTGGCGCTCAAGTCCGGGTTCTCAACCACCACTCAGGACGAAGCCCACAGGCTGACGTGGAAAGGGAGCTGACAGTCAAATCCACGCAATGTGCCTCGATGTGCTGACGCCAACGTTCCGCATGGCTTCTACGTGTCTGTTCTCAAATCCGCTCCGCAAGACAGTGGATTCTGAGCCAAGGCAGAAAGCGAAGCCCTCTGCAGCCGAGAGGCCCCATGCCCATCCTGCTCACATCTCCTTGTATCCCTCACTTTCACGCTGTCCTCAGGGAGGAAACACCCGAGCCACTGCAGCCCACAAAAGCCTTCTTTCCCTGATTACACCTGCATGCCTCCACCCCCATCCCTATCACCTGGTACTTCACGCTGTCCCCAGGGAGGGAACAAACTGGCAAATGAGCCAGAGTGAGTCAACTCTCTGGGGGACGGATGCCTTTCATAGGTGGGAGGTGCCAGGCCACCCACATCCCCACCCAGCCCGGGGCCTGACCACACTCACTTTACAAGGCATGCTTATGATCGTCTTCAGCAGCTTCTCCACCTCATTGAGCCTGGTCTCTATGTCGTGGGCTTCCTTTATGGCAACCAGTCCTAGAATTGAGACAGAAATGCCCAAAGTCAGAAAAGCACACCAGGAAATATGCTTCCAATTCAATCCATAACAGGCGCCCACGAACCGCCAGTGTGGTCCTCTGTAATGAATGAGACGTCGGGAACATTCAACGTTTCAGCTACCCAATGAATGGTAAGTCTGTGATGGAGTTGGTGCTGTCAATCTCAAAGGGGGATGAGAGGCGTAAGATCCCTCCAAGTAGGGCAGCCTGGCAGGTTCCATAATCACCCTGCTCACGGTCAGAACTCAGCCCAGGGCGGCTCAGGCCCCATCAGCATGGTGGCTACAGCTGGGGTGCTGGCCCAGGACCAGCCCACCCCCAATGACACAGGGAAGGACTCGCTCTGCTGGCCACGGCTGCCCAGATCGCAGACCCCTGGAAATGGAGCCCCTGTTTAGACCAGTCATTTACATGCCATGTTCAGAAGGAAAAGAATCTGCCTGGAGAAAACCAAAGTGGACATGACTCATGCCACTTTCCAGGAATCTGAGCCTCTGTGCTTCTTACGGTCACCACATGCCTGAGTGGCTCTTACAGTATTTTATTTTTAAGACACTACAGCACAAGGCATGAAGGCTCGTGTGCTTTTCTAGCTCCCCATGAGAAATGCAGAGAGAGCAGAAGTCTTCCCATCATAGCTGCTATCCCTCAGCTTCGCAGGGATGGGGAAGGAGGTTCCCAAGGATCCTGGCCTCTCCCCAACACCACTGTGACTGACGCTGATGCAAACGTGCCTATGAGCCGTGATGAAACCACAAAGCCTTAAGTTCTAGAACTATTAATGGCAAAAACCGTGATGACTGCCTTTAATTCTGCACCAACCTAGTATTACCAGTCACAGAGGCAAAGGTTTGCAGAAGTTCTGATCTGATTTTGTTTTACAGGGGAAAAGTCTGTTCAGTTTTCAAGCAATTCATTGAATAGGTTTATAAAAAGAGATAAAAATAATTTCTGCTGGGTGTGGTGGTTCACGCCTGTAATCCCAGCACTCTGGAAGGCCGAGGCAGGTGGATCACAAGGTCAGGAGATCGAGACCATCCTGGTTAACATGGTGAAACCCTGTCGCTACTGAAAATACAAAAAAAAAGAGCCAGGCGCGGTGGCTCATGCCTGTAATCCCAGCACTTTGGGAGGCCGAGGAGGGTGGATCACCAGGTCAAGAGATCGAGACCATCCTGGTCAACATGGTGAAACCCCGCCTCTACTAAAAAATACAAAAAAAAAAAAAAATAGCTGGGCGTGGTGGCGCGTGCCTGTAATCCAAGCTACTCAGGAGTCTGAGGCAGGAGAACTGCCTAAACCCAAGAGGCGGAGGTTGCGGTGAGCCGAGATCGTGCCATTGCACTCCAGCCTGGGCAACAAGAGCAAAATTCCGTCTCAAAAAAAAAAAAAAAAAAAAAAAAAAAAGATTAGCTGGGCATGGTAGCACACACCTGCAGTCCCAGCTACTCGGGAGGCTGAAGCAGGAAAATCGCTTGAACCCGGGAGGCAGAGGTTGCAATGAGCCGAGATCACACCACTGCACTCCAGCCTAGGTGACAGAGTAAGACTCCATCTCAAAAAAAAAATAAAAATAAAAAATAAAAATAAAATTTCTTATACTTCCTGACTAAAGTTAAGAGGCCCCAGAGCACAGAGCCCATGGAAACTGCTGCCACAGCTCCCCAGACACAGATCAAAGGCACTTCTGAAAGCATGGGCTGCCACAGGGGCATCCTCATAACTGGGGTCCACGGGGTCAGTGGAAGCCAGGAACCTTCTCCCCACTTCCTCAGTCACATGCCAGTTGCCCCTTAGCCTGGCTCAGCTGGTATCCTAGCAGGCATCCCTGCCTGGCAGTGTCTGACCTGCCCCCTCCACTGACATCAGCCACACAGACCCAGGCGGCCAGCTGTGCAGGGTATAAGGGTCCAAGAAGGGCAGGCTCTGTGGTCTGTGAGTCACCCACTAGTAAACCCTGGGGCCTCCATCCACGTGGCCTGTGCCTACACCCAAGCACAATGCCCTGGCCGTCACCAGAGGAAGGGACTGGACCACCCTCTGCCCTCTTCCCCAACCTCACCCCACCTCCTCACATGCCGGGGGCAAGCAGCGGGGAGCAGGAAGAAAAACAGAAAACAACAAAAGTAACACTCTCTGGATGCCTCTTCCCCAAGCCCTGAATTCCTTGCATAGAATTTCGAATATTTACATACTGCAATTTACACAGAATTTCAAATATTTATATACTGCAAGATGTATATATGCGCCACTCTTTCAACCAAAATGCTTTGATCCTCTGCTTGCTACAGCGAAGTCTACTGAGGAAAAGGGAGCCAATTCAAAATTCCGAAAAAGCTGTTTTTAAAGAAAAGACAATTATATAACTCATTCCCACAAAGTGCTTCTTTATTCGAAGGCACGCAAAAGTACTGTTCTATTTCAGCTTTTCTTACAGCTAGAATACTAGTTTTAAGTTCATCAAATGATGACACAGTAGTTGTATTCGGTTCACGAGACTGACTTTTTGCATAGTCAATGCATCCAGCACGTGTATACTCATTTCATAGGACAGAAAGCGCGATCTAACAGTTTGTAAGTATTACAGAGGTTCGTAACGCTGTTACCTTGGCTTGGCTGGTATCTCTTTGGCTACATCTTTGATTTGATTCACGTGCACCTCTTGGTTGCCTTACTAACCTACAAGGGTAACACTAAGGAGATAAATACATTCTGCAGTACACTGGTCTCCTTTTAGTATGACCAAATTTAGCAAATAAAACACGGCATGCCTAATTAAATGTGAATTTCAGATAAACAATGAATAATGCAAAAGCAGAGACAGACTTAACACTAAAAACATTTGCTGCTTATTTGACATTCAGACCTAACTTTGGATCCTGTATTTTATCTACCTACACTATCTTCTTTGTGACTCACCTTCCAGACTAAACTATAGAAAGGCAAGTGTACCTGGAAACCCCGTTAGTATTTTTAGTTGAGCATGCAGACCCTTCTCGACCCAACCCCAGCCCACCTACCTCACCAACTCTGTGCCCTGTAAAGCCCATCTTCACGCCAACCCCGAGACACAGGCCCTCGCTGCCCAACAGCCTCCAGGAGAGCTGTCCTGTTCTCCGGCCTCCCCCATCTCCAGGCTCACGATGAGGCAAATCCACTCGGGAAAAGCCACCTGCTCTGTGACGATGGGACTGGGTCCTCCCTGTGGGCCCAGAAAGCCCATCCCGCCCTCTACAGCCTCTTGCTCCTCTACGATGACTGTGCTTCACCTGCGGGTCTCCCCAGGGACTAGTGGGAGCCATAGGGCAGGAGGCGCCTCGGGCTCATCTCCCTGTGACCAGCAACCAGCACAGTGCCCGGCCCACACAAGGGATGCGATGTTCGCTGTTTGCTGGCAGAATAAACTTGCATCAGACAAGGCACAAGTAGACAGGCGTCATCCAGTCTCCTGTGTGGGTTCCAGCTTACCTGGGGCAGCACCCCAGTCTCAGTCTTGTCATCATTACCCTCTGCCTGACCCCAGGCAGAAATGACCAGCAGCAGGCTCTTAGGTCACCAGCCTCAAAGGACAGTCTCAAGGGCCAAGTGGCAGTAAAACTGCTGAGCCACGCTGGTTTATTTGCAGAAATGTGCAGAACCACACTGCTTCCTTTCACCTGTTTTTATGTTTCTGGATGGAAGCCAAATTGTGCTCGGTGAGTATGTAAACATGCTTGCCAACCAAACAAAAGCAGCCTGGGAAGATTTAGATGGGGAAAGTGAAGAGCTGGAATCCCTCCCTGCAAGCACAGAAACGACCAGGGCTTACTCTTTAAGCTCTAGGCTTTTTAGTTAGGGCCACTTCCATTAATGAATTCCCTGTTCCGGCTGCTCGTGGTGACAAGCTGCCATCTGCATCAGCTTTCTCAGGACACTGTGGTCCCTTCTCCACAGAGACAGTCCACCTGAAAGACAACAAGTGCTGGTCCCTTTGCCAGGAGGGGCCACAGCTGATTCATGAAGTGATGAATTCTGCTAAACGTACTGAAACCCACCTGATTGACAGCAGCACAGTGGGGCAGCTGCTGCCAGAAGAGCTCCAGAGCACAGCCACGAGAATGCGGTCGCGTGCTGCCCTGAGCAGCAAAGGCCTCCCTGCCCCCAATCCAGACGTGGCCCCGGCAAGAAGGTACAGACAGCCTGGCCTTCTTAAAATGCCAAAGTTCACATCTCCCTACTCCCCGCTTCAATTGTTTTTAAAATGTGTTAAACACACCAAACGGATGGGTGTATTTGATGTGGAAGGAAAATGCTTTTCAAAAAAAACTGTGCAGCTGTCCACTGGGACCACAGTGCAGAAATGAAAGAAGTCTTCATTTTGCAATTTTGGATGGTTTCACTCTCTGTTTCACAGCTGAAAACCTCAAATGCCTGCTGCCACCACCCCAAATGACAACTACTCCAATTTATAAAGAAGAAGTTTTGAGCAGAATCCACGTTTAAGACACTTTATTTTCCAGAAACAGATGAGAAGAACTGTAAGTTTAAAAAGTACTGCTTCCCCCAGAGCAAACTATTGCGCGCATGTGCGTTTCTTTCTATCCTACCTGGTGTACTCTTCCTTCGAAACTCAAGTGCTTCGGCTTCCAATAGCTAGTGGAACTTTTCCAAATGTCACCTGTTTATCGTAAGCAACGATTTGAAAACTTGCTTTCAACACTGCACTTAAATACAATTAAGATCATCTAAAATTTTTGCTTTTCTAGTCCAAATATTGTTCATGGCATGACAATTCTGTGGGGTTCTTGTCCGAGTTAGTTTTGCTGTCTGAGATCACACAGATAAATACGGCAGGCAGGTAAGAGAACCGTGAAACGGAAGCAGAGCCGCTTGAGTCGGCTTTCAGGACTGGCCAGAAGGGGGCGCGCGCACTCTGCAGAAAACGCAGGACGGCGTTCACTGCAAGGCACGCTGAAGTTTTAAGCTCAGAGCTCACAG